CCCGTCGGTCACGAAGCGTTGCATCGGGTGGGGAAAAGGCATGCAAACACCGCCATTGGGGCCTTCGGTGGAGCTCCTTGCGGGGCCACGAAGCGTTGTATTGGGTGGGGGAAGCGCATGCGAACACCGCCACTGGGGCATTCGGTGGAGCTCCCTATGGGGCCACGGAGCGCTGTACTGGGTGGGGGAAACGCATGTGAATTGTGCCACTGGGACTCTCGGTGGAGCTCCTTACGGGGCCACGAAACGTGTGAGCGGTGTGCCGAAACGGGCATGACGCCATTGGGACCTTAGCTGGACTTCCCTAATGGGCCACGGAACGTGTGACGGGTGTGCCGAGTCGAGCGTGACGCCCACATGCGGGCGGTGCCATTGGGACCTTAGTTGGAGCTCCTTAGGGGGCCACAAAACGTGTGAGTGGTGTGCCGAACCGCGGGCGACGCCCACGTGCGAATTGTGCTTCAAGGGCCTGAGCTGGAGCTCCCTAAGGGGCCACACCGCGTGTGAGGGGTGTGTCGAAACGGGAGCGACGCCCACATGCGAAGGTACCCTTGGTGGGGCCTTCGGTGGAGCCCCCCGATGGGGCCACGACTCATGATGATGATGACGATGCTGGTGACGGTGATGATGATGATGACGATGATGATAATGATGATGCTGATGATGATGCTGCTGATGATGCTGATGGTGATGATGATGATGCTGATGGTGATGATGATGCTGCTGATGATGCTGATGATGATGATGATGATGATGATGATGATGACGATTATGACGATGACGATGACGATGACGATGACGATGGTGATGATGGTGCTGATGATGATGCTGCTGATGGTGGTGATGACGATGGCGATGACGATTCTGATGGGAAGAGGAATGAGAGGAAGGAAGGAACGCGGGGCACTTTCTCTTCAAAGCGAGGACCCAACACCACAGGTTGGTTGGGACAAACACATGGTTTTGCAACATTCGCTTTCGCAAAACAATGCATGCGCTCGCGCTCCTACGGGTTCTTCAAAAACACATAGGTTGTTCAACATATGCATTAATTTCGGCCAAACGGGCCTCTCGCGCCGCATGTCGAAACCATGGGAACGCCTTTGCGCGCGTGCGTGGGGGGGCACGATCCATGCCAAATAGTACAATGCGGGCCACTCTCGCGCGTCGGCCGCGCGCGCATGGCGAATTCTTGCCAAAACCTTCATCACCGACGCGAGGACGCCGTCATCGCCGCCAGCGTGATCAGCATCGGCACCGTCACTGGCCTTGCCGTCGTCGTTGTCAACATCGTCACCAGCATCGCTACTACCATCATCGTGTCTACCGTTGTCGATGTTGCCATGATACCGCGCCCGCCCAAGTCGCCGACTCGCACTGAAGTGCTCGCTGGGAAGTGCCCAGCGGTCAGCGCCACCGCGGCCACGTCGGTCGCGCCAAACTAGCTGGCCGCTTCGAGCGCGAGCATGCGCGGGCTAGAGCGGCCGCAGAGATGCACCAGCCAACGCCAAACACTCATCGCAATCGCGGCCGCGTGGGTCTTGCAAGCCAAGAGGCGCGTGTGTGGGTGGGACGGTTGCGCGAGCAGCGGAGTTTACAACCCACAGCGATCAGAAATTAACTGCGCCACATAGAGTGCACCACATAGGTTTGATTTTTCCTTAAAAGATGGTTGCCCCATCATTGAGGCCCATCATTGTATCGCTTGTCGGCTCCAATCCGTGCTCCATTGCGTGGCCCTTGTTGTATGATTTCCAAGCTTTTGAGTCGATTATGGCGTCCCTCTTTCATCACGTAGCCGATTCAACCTCCAATTCCCGGTTCTCCTCCCTCCCTCCTCTCGTTCCATCTTTTCACGATTCCCTTCGTGCCCTCCCCACTCCATCCAGACCTCCCCGCCTTCCCCATCCCCCGCGCATCTTCCTCCTCCTAATACTCTTGATTCGCCTCTTCCTTCCCTTATTCCTCCAGCGCTCTTGGCTCTGGTCAAGATGCGAGCGATCTGACTGCATCCGTTCCTCCTTCCGTCCATCCCCCCGCCAGCCATCATTTTTCATCGTTTTCTCCTGCCCTCCTATTCTCTTTGCTCCCATCCCTACGTGCCCTTTCTCCCTCCGTATTCCGCCCGCCCCTCTATTCCACAAGCTTCACTCCTGACCCCTGTCGCATCCCTCCTCTCTGCTTCCTCTTCCCGCCCCACCCCTTATTATCCATTGACGACTATGTAGCACTCACTCCTCATGAATGTACTCCTACCTCTTACCTTTACCCTCCCTCCCCCTGCATTATCCCTTGCTCTTCCGTCGTCCGTTTGCTCTCGCATCCATCCTCCCTCCGTCTCCTCCTCTTCCATCATCCATCCATCCCTCCCTCCCTCCCTCCTTCCTCCTCATCGCTCGCGTTTCTTCATCCAGCCTCCCGGTTCCCCGCCCTCATCTGATCCAGATCCTGTCGTCTGTCCCATTCCTCTCCATTATGACCTTCGTCCTTTCTCCACCTCACCCTCCCCTCCCCTGTCCCTCTCCCTCCCATTTCTCCCCCTCCACATTCCCCACGCCCCATCGCCTCTCCCGCTCCCTCCTCCATTCTCCATCGTGCCTCCTCCCTCCGTCTCCCTTGCTTCCTATTCCCTGGTCCTCCCTGCTCCCGCTTCCCGTTCGCCCTTCCCTCGCACGCTCGGCCCCTCGGTTGTCCTCTTGTTTCTCCTGCTCCCCCCGCTCATTTTGCCCGTCCCCCCCTCTTTCTATTCCATGTCCTTTCCTCTCGTGGGGTGGTTGTGCCAGTCAGCAGAATATGTCCCTCCACAAGCCTCGTGCCCGAACCGCGCCGGGTGGCGAGGCTTACTCGATCCAGATCCGCCAGGGCATCTGCGGCCGAAGGTCAAAGGCAAAAGGCCGAGAATGCGAGGCGTTCCGGTCCTGAGCTTGCGGTCCCCCTCCTCGGTGCAAGGCGCCTTCTTTTCTTTCGCGGAATGAACGGACAGCCTTGCAGTGGAAAGCCATGCCAAGAAACACCGTCGTCCTCCACTGAAACGAACAGCCCTGCAGGGTGGAGACCCATGCCACGAAACACCCTGCTTGCCTCGAGGCTGCCCTGGGTGTGTTGGGCGCCGATGGTTATGCGATGGAAGGCGCGGCGCTCCCATACCAGAAACCCATGGACGTCCTGGGGTCTCAGGGTTGGGTTTTTGTTCGTGGGAGGTCTCTTGTGGACTGGCCTCCACTGCAGTGGACAGGCATGGCCATTCTCATTCTCTCCCCGCCCCCGCTGCTCGCCCGCCCCAGCCGCGCCCCCGCTTCCGCGAGCAGGTCCTCGTGGTGCACACGCTGCTGTGCCCGTCCATGCTGCCTTTTCTGCGCTCTCGGTGGGCGGCCGGCTCCCCTCGGGCAGGGGAGGACGAGGAGGAGGAGGAGGAGGAGGTGGTGGAGGAGGGGGAGGAGGAGGAAAAGGAGGAGGAGGAGGAGGAGGAGGAGGAGGAGGAGGAGGAGGACCAGGAGGACCAGGAGGAGGAGGAGGAGGAGGGAGGAGGAGGAGGAGGAGGGGGGGAGGGGGGAGGAGGGAGGAGGGAGGAGGGAGGAGGGAGGAGGAGGAAGGAGGAGCGAGGGAGGAGGAGGGAGGGAGGAGGGAGGGAGGGAGGGGGGAGGGAGGGAGGGAGGGAGGGAGGGAGGGAGGGAGGAGGGGAGGAGGAGAGAGGAGGAGGGAGGAGGAGGAGGAGAGGAGGAGGAGGAGGAGGGGGGGGGGGGAGGGGGGGGAGGAGGGAGGAGGAGGAGGGGGAGGGAGGGAGGAGGGAGGAGGGGAGGAGGGAGGAGGGAGGAGGAGGAGGGAGGAGGGAGGGAGGAGGGAGGGAGGGAGGGGAGGGGGAGGAGGAGGAGGAAGAGGAGGAGGAGGAGAAGGAGGAGGAGGAGGAGTCAGAAGTAGGAGAACGAGGAGGAGGGGGAGGGGGATCAGGGGTCAGGATTCAGGAGTCAGGAGTCAGGAGGAGGAGGAGGAGGATGAGGAGGAGGAGGACCAGTGCAAACCCAAGAGTCATCAACGATGGTGGAGTAAACCCTCCCTCCAAGCTCCCTCTGCATAGGCCCCTACAACGGTTCATTTCCATGAAGGGAACTGCCTCGTTGGAAGACACCCGTTTGAAAACCCTGAAGCATGAAAACACATTGTTCTCGGGGTTCCACCGCCATGGATCAACCTGATTGTTGCGTCTTCGCAATCATGAATCGTTCCAGAACGCGATTCCGAGGACGTCAACAAAGATAATCAACCACACCCGTGCACCCGCATAATCTTGAATCCATTCACAACACAATTTGTGGTACGTTAGTGATGGGAACCCGTAAACTCTTGAACATGTTGTTAACGAATGTGCGCGGCGCTAAAACGAGAGCCACATTTTGAAAAGGAACCGCCCTAACTCCGTGAAGCTAAGTTTACAACACATGTGCGCCGCGCTAGGGCGAGAGCTACATGTTAAAATCGACTCGCCTTCGATCCGTGACACTTCTTGCAATGTTACGCAAAACGAATGTGCGCCGCGCTAAGGCGAGCGCCGCAGTTTGAAAAGGAATTGCCCTCAACCCGTGAATATGTTGCAACCGTTTAAAACACATGTGCGCCGCGCTAAGGCGAGAGCAACATTTTGAAAGCCACCCGCCCTCAATCCGTGAAACGCTTGCAACTGTTAAACACGAATGTGGGCGCGCTCAGGCGAGAGCCACATTTTGAAAACGGCCCGACCTCCATGCGTAGAGTTGTTGCCAAGTTTAAGCTTCAGAGTCATAACTGGCGAGGAAGTCTCAGACGAAACGTCCTGCCCGCCCTAAAAATCTGGCCTCGGGGTGCGACAGGGATAAGTTATGTATAAGAAAAAGGAATGGAGGAGAATGAGGAGGAGGAGGAGGAGGAGGAGGAGGCAGCGGAGGAGGAGGAGGAGTCAGCAGGCGGAGGAGGAGTCAGGAGAAGGAGGAGGAGGAGGAGAAGGAGGATGAGGCGGAGGAGGGAGGAGGAGGAGGAAACGGAGGAGGAGGAGGAGGGCGGAGGATGAGGAGGAGGAGGAGGAGGAGGAGGAGGAGTTAGGAGTCAGGAGTCAGGAGTCAAGAGTCAGGAGTCAGGAGTCAGGAGTCAGGAGAAGGAGGATGATGATGATGATGATGATGAGGAGGAGGAGGAGGAGTCAGGAGTCAGGTGGAGGAGGAGGAGGAGGCGGATGAGGAGTCAGGAGGAGGAGGAGGTGGAGGAGGAGAAGGAGGAGCCAGGAGTCATAATCCTGAGCCCATCCAACACACCATTTCTGGTACGTTAATGATGGGAACCCGTAAAGTTTTGAACATGGTGTTAACGCGTGTGCGCGGCGTTAAGCCGAGAGCCACAGTTCGAGAAGGAACCGCCCTAACTCCGTGAAACTAAGTTTACACCACAGGTGTGCCGCGCTAAGGCGAGCGCCACATGTTAAAACCGACTCGCCCTCAATCAGTGACACTTCTTGCAAGGTTACGCAAAACGAATGTGCGCCGCGCTAAGGCGAGCGCCGCAGTTTGACAAGGAACTGCCCTCAACCCGTGAATATGTTGCAACAGTTTAAGTCACATGTGCGCCGCGCTAAGGCGAGAGCAACATTTCGAAAGCCACCCGCCCTCAATCCGTGAAACGCTTGCAACTGTTAAAAACGAATGTGGGCGCGCTCAGGCGAGAGCCACATTTTGAAAACGGCCCGACCTCCATGCGTAGATTTGTTGCCAAGTTTAAGCTTCAGAGTCATAACTGGCGAGGAAGTCTCAGACGAAACGTCCTGTCCGCCCTAAAAAAACTGGCCTCGGGGTGCGACAGGGATAAGTTGTTTATAAGAAAAAGGAATGGAGGAGAATGAGGAGGAGGCGGAGGAGGAGGAGGAGGAGGAGGCAGCGGAGGAGGAGGAGGAGGAGTCAGCAGGCGGAGGATGAGTCAGGAGAAGGAGGAGGCGGAGGAGAAGGAGGAGGAGGAGGAGGAAGGAGGAGGAGGAGGAGGAAAAGGCGGAGGAGGAGGGCGGAGGATGATGATGATGAGGAGGAGGAGGAGGAGTTAGGAGGCAGGAGTCAGGAGTCAGGAGTCAAGAGTCAGGAGTCAGGAGTCAGGAGTCAGGAGAAGGAGGAGGACGAGGAGGAGGAGGAGGAGTCAGGAGTCAGGTGGAGGAGGAGGAGGAGGAGGCGGATGAGGAGTCAGGAGGAGGAGGAAAAGGAGGAGCCAGGAGTCATAATCTTGAGCCCATCCAAAACACCATTTCTGGTACGTTACTGATGGGAACCCGTAAACTCTTGAACATGTTGTTAACGAGTGTGCGCGGCGCTAAGCCGAGAGCCACATTTCGAGAAGGAACCGCCCTAACTCCGTGAAATTAAGTTTACAACACAGGTGTGCCGCGCTAAGGCGAGCGCCACATGTTAAAACCGACTCGCCCTCAATCAGTGACACTTCTTGCACTGTTACGCAAAACGAATGTGCGCCGCGCTAAGGCGAGCGCCGCAGTTTGAAAAGGAACCGCCCTCAACCCGTGAATGTGTTGCAACTGTTTAAAACACATGTGCGCCGCGCTAAGGCGAGAGCAACATTTTGAAAACCACCCGCCCTCAATCCGTGAAACGCTTGCAACTATTAAAAGCGAATGTTGGCGCGCTCAGGCGAGAGCCACATTTCGAAAACGCCCCGCCCGCCATGTGTAAAGGTGTTGTCACCAAGTTTAAGCTTCAGAGTCATAGTGGTGAGGATGTCTCAAGCGAACCGTCCTGTCCGCCCTAAACCTGGCCTTGGGGTGCGACAGGGATAAGTTGTTTATAAGGAAAAGAAATGGATGATAATGCGGAGGAGGATGAGGCGGAGGAGGAGGAGGAGGCGGAGGAGGAGGCGGAGGAGGAGGAAGCGGAGGAGTCAGGTGGAGGAGTCAGGAGGATGAGAAAGAGTCAGGAGGAGGAGGAGGAGGAGGAGTCATGAGGAGGAGGAGGAGGATGAGAAGGAGGAGGAGGAGGAACCGGAGGAGGAGGAGGAAGAGGAGGAGGATGATGATGAGGAGGAGGAGGAGGAGGGCGGAGGAGAAGAAGGATGAGGAAGAGGAGTCAGGAGTCAGGAGTCAGGTGGAGGAGGGGGAGGAGGATGAGGAGGAGGAGGAGGAGGAAGAGAAGAAGCGGAGCAGGATGAGGAGGAGGAGGCGGAGGAGGAGGAGGAAGAGGAGGAGGATGAGGCGGAGGAGGAGGAGGAGACGGAAGAGGAGGAGAAGCGGAGAGGAGGAGGAGGAGGAGGAGGAAAGGGAGGAAGGGGAATCATGAGGAGGAGGGGGAGGAGGAGGAGGAGCCAGGAGGGAGTCATGGGAGGAGGACGAGAACGAGGCGGAGAAGGAGGAGGAGGAGGAGGAGGGGGAGGAGGAGGAGGAGGCGGAGACGAGGAGGAGGAGGAGGTGGTGGGAGGAGGAGGAGGGGCGAGGAGGAGGAGGATGAGGAGGAGGAGGAGGAGGAGGAGGAGGAGGACGAGGAGGAGGCGGGAGGAGGAGAGAGGAGGAGGAGGAGGAGGAGGAGGAGGAAGGGGGGAGGATGAGGAGGAGGAGGAGGCGGAAACAGGAGTCAGGCGGAGTCAGGAGGACTCTCTCGGTGGGCGGCCCGCTCCTCTCGGGCAGAGGAGTCGACGGAGGAAGCGGAGGAGGAGGAGGATGATGAGGAGGCGGTGGAGGAGGAGGAGGGCGAGGAGGAGGAGGAGGAAACATAAGAAGACTAAGACGAATACTATGAACAGTACTAAGAAGAGGAGGAGGAGGCGGAGGTGGAGGATGAGGCGGAGGAGAGAGGTGAATGGAGGAGTCTGTCGATGGGCGGCCCGCACCTCTCGGGCAGAGGAGGAGGAGGAGGCGAGGAGGAGGGGGGAGGAGGAGGAGGAGGAGGAACCATACGAATCATACTAAGCATCATAAAGCGAAGATGAGGAGGATGGGGAGGAGGAAGAGGAGACGGAGGAGGAGGAGGAGGACGAGGAGGAGGAGGCCGAGGACGAGGACGAGGGCGAGGAGGAGGAGAATGCGAGGAAGGAGGAGAGGAGGAGGAGGAGGAGGGGAACGAGGAGGAGGAGGAGGAGGCGAGGAGGAGGAGGAGGAGGAGGAAGAGAAGCAGGAAGAGGAGGAGGAGGAGGAAGAAGAAGAAGACGAAGGATAATACGAATACGAATAATACTACTAATAAGAACACGAATAAGAAAGGGAAAACGAGGAGGAGGAGGAGGATCAGGAGGAGGAGGAGGAGGAGATGTGGAGGAGGAGGAGGTGGAGGAGGAGGAGGAGAAGGAGGAAGACGAAGAAGGATAAGACGAATAATAATACTAAGAAGAAGATGAATAAGAATAATAAGCGGAGGCGGAGGAGGAGGAGAAGGAGGAGGATCAGGAGGAGGAGGATCAAGAGGAGGAGGAGGAACAGCAGCAGCAGCAGCAGCAGCAGGACGAGGAGGTCGCGACGAGCCCACCCGTGCGGCCTCGGCCAGGTGGCCTCTCATACAGTATTTGGCGAAGGTCCTCCGCGATCCGCGGGCACGCCGCTTCCCGTCGAAGAGGCCCCCCCCCTCTCTGCGGCCGCGGGCTGCCGCCTCTGCCTCCGCCCTCCGTCCCCGCCCCGATCCCCCATCCGTCAACCCTGTCCTCTCTCCTCCGTTCCGCTCGCCCCCTGTAACCCCCCCCTTGGAGGAGGAGGAGGAGGAGGAGGAGGAGGAGAAGGATCAGGGGGAGGAAGAGGAGGAGGATCAAATGGCCACCAGTCCAACAAGTCATACCAGCACACCCACCACCACCCGCACTGCAAATACCAATCATTTGCCCACCAGGCGAAGACATCAGAGCACAACAGCGGATTCAAGAGTTACCCATGCGGCATGTGGCCCCACGGGCTCCCGCAACGCTGCACACACATACTTCCCGACTATTGCAGCACAAGCAATCGCCACACACACAACGAAGCAGCAAGACGGGGAGAGCAGCAGATCCACATCTTCAGCCGACGCATCATTGTCATCAATAGCATCGGCGACCCCACTTTCCAGAACTACATCACCAGGCTTCGCACACACCAGGCTCGCTACCAGGTCTACATCAGCAGCCTGCGCGAATACTCGCCTGGAGCACCTTTCGGGGAGCCCCCGCCGAAACAATTGGTCACACTTCACAAGGCTGTAGCAAAGCCCAAGCCGACGCTCACAAGCAAGGGCCAGTACACAACTTAAGATTGTGACTACCACGACATCCACAGCCAGCACCCTTCCATCATCCACCTCAGAGGGTACCACGACATTCACGGCCAGTACTTCTTCATGCCTATACGACCATCCTTCAGGTGATAAGGAGGTTCGGGGGGGGAGGGAGGAACCAATGTCTCACTCGATCGGTCTCACTATCGATCTCACTATCGATCTCACTATCGGTCTCGCTCGATCGATCCCACTCGATCGATCTCACAATCGATCTCACTCGATCTATTTCATTCGATCGATCTCAACATCGATCTGACTATCGATCTCAGCATCGATCCCTTTATCGATCACACAATCTATCCCACATTCGGTCATACTATCGATCTCACTATCGATATCATAATCGATCTCACAGTCAACGTCATCATCATCATCAACAACATCATCGTCATCAACATCATCATCATCAGCATCATCATCATCATCATCGGGACACAATCATCATCATCATCACCACATCGCCATCATCATCAACATCATCATCACCATCATCACCACCATCACCCTCATCATCATCATCATCACCATCGGGACACCATCATCGTCATCATCATCAACATCATCATCGGGACACCATCATCATCATTATCATCATCATCATCATCATCATCATCATCATCGGAACGCCACCATCATCATCACCATCATCATCTCATCATCATTGACAACATCATCAACATCCCCATCATCGGGACACCATCATCATCAGCAACATCACCATCATCAACATCATCATCATCATCATCATCATCATCGGGACACCGTCATCATCGTCACCATCCTCATCATCGCCATCATCATCATCATCGGGGCACCATCATCATCATCAACATCAGCATCATCATCACCGGGCCACCATCATCAAAATCATCATCATCACCTCATCATCATCAATATCAACATCACCATCATCGGGACAGCATCATCTTCATCATCGTCAACATCATCATTATTGGGACACCATCATCATCACCATCATCATCATCATCAAAAGCATCATCATCATCATCGGGACACCATCATCATCTTGATTACCATCATCTCATCATCTCATCCTCATCATCAAGATCTTCATCATCGGGACAATCTCATCGACATCATCAGCATCATCAACATCATCATCATCATTGGGACACCATCATCATCACCACCATGGCCATCACCATCATCATCACCATCATCACCATCGGGACACCATCATCGTCACCATCATCATCAAAATCAACATCATCATCATCATCGAGACACCATCGTCATCATCGTCATCGGAGCACCACCACCATCATCATCATCTCATCTTCAGCATGAACAACATCATCAACATCAGCATCATCGGGACTATCATTATCATCAGCAACATCATCATCAACACCATCATCACCGGGACACCATCATCATTGGGACACCATCATCATCACCATCATCATCATCATCGGGACACCATCATCGTCAACTCCAGCATCATCATCATCGGGCCACCATCATCAAAATCATCATCATCATCATCATCTCATCATCATCCTCATCATCAGCATCATCATCACCGGGACACCATCGTAATCATCAGCAACATCATCATCATCACTATTGGGACACCATCATCACCATCATCGTCATCATTATCATCATCAACAGCATCATCAGCATCATCATCTGGACACCATCATCATCATCATCTTCATCATCATCTCATCATCTCATCATCATCAACATCATCAGGATCATCAACATCATCGCCATCATCAGCATCATCATCATCATCATCATCATCATCATCATCATCATCATCATCATCATCGGGACACCGACGGGATACCAGCGGGACACCGGCGGGACACCGCGCGCCACCGGGCTCCAGACAGGAAACATTTGGTCCGGCCGCGCCTCAGCCAGAGGCGGGACACTTCTCGCCCGCCCACGCAGCTTCGCCTCGCCCGCACGCACGGCACGCACGAACACGAAACCGAAATTGATTTCCCGGTAGGGGGGCTCTCCGTTCTACGTCGATCTCACCCCCTCACCTCCGATAAAATTCCGCAGAGGGGCGACATCTGAACCTCTCAAAGGCACAGGGGCACACATGTACGCCGTAATGTCTCTTACAGGGCTCCTCTACTGATGTACGATACACCCTCCCCTCGCGCGGCCCTGACATGCTGGTGGTTTTCTTTCGCACATCTCTGGCCTGCTCTACACCCTCGTTTTCGCGCGTCCCCGATACGTTGGTGGCATTCTCTCTCTCTCTCTCTCTCTTTATCTCTCTGCGCAGGTTGGGAGCTATCCTACAAAGCCTTGGGTAGCAGCCCTAAGATTGCATGTTTTTGAGGTTCCTGATTTGGGGCACTCACAGTGCACACTTGGGTCCCCACAGGGGCTGACCCCATACGGCTGTCTCGCCTAGCCACAACCTCACAGTGGACATCCAGCCTTATTCTTACCGCGGGAGAGGATGATGGGGGATGTTGTTGGGGCATTACATTGCCGACACTTTGAGGGACACCTAAGGTGCCACCCTCCTTTAACTGCCATAGCCCAAGGGCACTAGGGTACCCGCATGGACGTATTACCTGTTTTCCTTACGCCAATTCTCCAACAGTTGAGCAAGATTTTGGCGGCCTACAGACGCCGCCACCTTGTTAGCATGACCTACCACATTGTTTTCTCATTCAGATCACCTCTACCCCTCATTCGCTTTGTTTCTTGCTCAAAGTTTCTGCTTGCCAGGGTGGCACATGCTCTTGAGGCTCGGTTGGAGGTCGGATGGAGATTTCAGCAGGGTGGAGGTGGACGCAGCAGTGATACCTGTCAGCCGCACCTACTTGTTCTATGGCCTATACCTCGCTACTCCTCTGATCGGTCATGCTATCCCTCATCACGCAGCTCCAGCGGTTTAGGGTCAACAAGAAAATTGTGGCCCATAGCAAGGGCGCTCTGCTAAAGGTACCTTAAGACTACAGGCCAGCCTGCACAGGCCAGCCTTTGCGACGTTTATACGGCGCATGTACGGGCATCTTGAGCGACGAGGGTTCGTGTTATCCGAGAAGAGCATTGCAAAAAGCACGAGGGTCCTGTTACCGAAGTGGTTCGGGGTAAACCCAACCAAAAACTGGGCTGCAACCCAAGGACTGCCACACACCGTTTTTTACTCTGCTTCGATGCCTGCCCATCTTGGCAGCTCACTGGACTCTCTCTTCGATATCATCATTTTCCCTGACTCCGCTCACGCATCCTTGGCCTATCCATGCCTTATGCCGCCCACGGGAAACCGCCGCCGACAGGGATGAGGAGCTGATAGGGCTGAGGACCTGCGCCCGTTGCAGAGTTTACGAGCCGTTCCAGCGAGTGAGCGACCTTTGCTGTTGGCAAATCAGTGGCCCGGACTGCGTCTTCGGAGTCGTCGCTGCCGACGGCGATTGATTATATCGACGCAGACGTGTTATTAGTGCTCATGCAGCTGTTCCAGCGGGCACGGGCTGCGCCAGGCTTTGCCAGCGCAGGGGCTTTGCCAGAAGGCAGGGGCTTTGCTGTAGTGCTATTAGGAGGCACGGGCTTTGCTGCAGTGCACGGGCTTTGCCAGCGCACGGGCTTTCCCAGCGCACGGGCTTTGCTGTAGTGCTATTAGGGGGACACGGTGTATGCCAGGCTTTGCCAGCGCTTCGGTATTCTCTGACTGCATGAGGCACGCTTTCGCTGGGCTTCCAGCCGTTTGCGCTGTTTGAGCAAGGGAAAAAGAGCTATGATGGCGGTGCATCGGTCTCGACCGCCGAAGGGCAGCCGTTGAGCAATATGTTGAAGCGATTTAGTCAGTGGCGACAAAAGGGGCTTCAGCAGGCCTCCGACAAAATCTCCACTGGCATCGTCAGGAGAACAATCACCACTGTTGCCCATTGCTCGGCCCCTCCAATCACCCGTAGGGTGGTCGTATAGGTAATTATTGCTCTGTCAGGGTGCCCGTTGACACTCATCAGCAAGATGGCGTTCCTCCCAACGGTTGAGCGGGCCCACGCGTCCTCCATTGAGGGATCAAGCCGCCCCGCCCTTGCGGCCCCCTGGGAACGCTCCTGGGGCCCTTCGACAAGGTTGGGAAGCCAGCTTAGAACGCAAATATGGGGGCTGACTGGCCATCCTCTGCATAGGCGGTGGGTCATGCAACATGACGTATCACCTGTGCGGTACATGGTGATATGGGCCACCGAGGAGATGCCGTACGGAGGTGGCCTAGGGTTATGTTGTCCGCATATACCATCCGCCTATACCCTGTTTGTACCCTGCCGCACGTGCACGCACGCGCATTTAGCGCTGCGTAGCCT